CGGCCTGGACCGGGTCGTAGCGGTTCAGTCCGCCTGGAGGCGCCGGATCCATCGGAACAGACCGGAACACGGCACTGGGGGAAGAGGAGAAAACCCCCATAGCAACAAACCGGTTTCACGGCATTATTGGTAGGTGCCTCCCTCTGTGTGTGTGTGTGTGGCGCTGTCAGCACAGCTTAGCAGCGTTTGGGCGGATAGATGGATAAAGTCAATTCGTTTATGAGATAAAGAGACAAACAGTGCGCAGGTTTTAGAATATTTGGATGTAGGAGCTCACATTTGGCTTCTGGCTTCAGGTGGATTTCATTTGACTACAGATCAATGGACATTTCCCCACTCTGGCCTTGCAGGAAATTAAATTCCATTAAATAAGGTGGCTGTATTTGACTCACAACCTCTTTTGCATGTGTTATTTGACTGGAATACGTTCAACTGTGCATGCAAATGTCTATGAGCAGCAGAGATATTGAGGATCTCCAATCGGAAGTCTGTGTGGTATTGTGCTCCAAAGTCCACCTTAAATAAATGCAAGTATCCTTACATGACTGAATTCAGTATAAATCGTACTTTCTTCCTGCACCAGGAGAGACGTTTGAAGGATGAATGTGCCCGCTGCATATCTTATAAGAGATCTGTCTTGTCAGTGCACCATGTGATTGTCATCTCTTTCTTTGCCAGTGATGGAGGGATGTTGAGGAGAAGTGTGACTAGGACAGACACCCCCCCTCTAAAGAAAACCGGATTACCAGGACTCCAAACCATTGTGCCAGGTCTAAAGTGGGACTGCTGGAACTGGACGGTCTGCACTACTACTGGGTTTAGAGCCAGATCACTGGGACTACAGCTGGGTTACTGAACCTGCAGGAAGGTCACTGCGAGGACACGTCTAAATCATCAAGTAGAGACTAGACGTTTGCTGGGATGCTGCTGGGTTTCATGGCTTTGAGGTTCTTCATTCAAGCTTGAAATTAGTTGGCGGAAAAACCTTTTCGGAGAAAGAACTGCTTGAAGTGATCAGGCTGAGGTTCGGTGCCACTAACATAGATTTTGTTCATCTATAGCCATCAAAGCATCCAAGTGTCCTTTAGAAGTAACATGTCTGGATTGAAGTACCAAGGAAATACTTGAATTTTAGGATTCTTATAGTGGAGAAAGTACTGTTTAAGGTTCTGACAGCATCTCTTGAGTTGTGTTTGTAGTGTAAAATAAAGTTTGAGTAGGATATTATTGGATTTACAACAGGGTTACTTGTTCTCCACGGATACTGGGACTACTTTTTACTGGTATTACACCAGGGTAACAGAAACTAAAGGTACTACAGCCAGGACCAGATACAAGTCACAAAAAAAAAAAACATCTTTTTTTTTGGGTCTACTTGTCTGCATCAGGCCAACTTGACCACAGAGCATTTCAGAAGTCTGCATGTTGAGGATTAAAGCTGTTTTTTGAGAATCTAAAACCACATTTTGAGGACTATAACCAGATTACTGTTTTCAAAAACACTACTGCTCCTACATCAGTGTTAATGGGATTATAAAATACCCTGGTCCTAGAAAAGTTAGCAGCTACTGTGTCTGCAAGCGAGTCACCAAGCTCACAACACATATTTTTGGGGGCACCAGGCAAGTTCTTAAAACTATAAAGCCATATTATCCTCACTATAAGTAACTGTTTATCACTGTTGGAACATGAACCTTAAGTAGCGGGGACTCTATTAAACTTTATTGGACCAATATTCATCATGTCTTTGAGCAAGACCCTCGAGCTGGAGCACTTTGACGAACGCGACAAGGTTCGCCGGGGGCGCTCCACCCGCAGCAAGAGAGATGACTCCACAGGCGGTGGCGGGGGGTCTGGCCCCAGCTCCAGGGGCAGCAGCCTGGTCCCTAGCCCTGCCCACAGCGCCAACTGCAGCTACTACCGGACCCGAACCCTGCAGGCACTCACCTCGGAGAAGAAGGCCAAAAAGGTCCGGTTCTATCGCAACGGGGACCGGTACTTCAAGGGTCTGGTGTACGCTGTTTCCAGTGACCGGTTCCGCTCCTACGATGCGCTGCTAATGGAGCTGACGCGCTCGTTGGCGGATAACCTGCATCTGCCACAAGGGGTGCGCACGATCTACACTATAGATGGCAGCAAGAAGATCACCAGTATGGATGAGCTGGTGGAAGGTAGGACTTTCTCTTCACTTTGCCTTGTTCACAATGAATTCACATTGTTCTTAAAGTAATCAGTCCCTCCAGGATTTTGCAGGCTTTTTGTTGGGATTGTTGCAGCCTAAAAGGTCTGATTTCACACCAGCTATTGTAAAAAGTTGCAATGCTTGTTGTAATGTTTTTCGGCATTTGAAAAAAAACCCCAAAACTTGTTCTGTTGAGAATAAAATCTCTAGTAGTTTGGTAACATATGGGTCAACGTTTTGTGGGAAACTACAATGATTGGTCAAATTTGTGGAGAAGTCGCAGTGATTGAAGGGCACACACAGGAAGTGGTTGAATTTGTGCTACTTGTTATGATTAAAGCATCGCAACTTCCTGGAGGGACTGAATAATAGTTATCGGGTTTAAAGGCCAATCCTGGCACTCTTACATGGATTACTATTAAAATAGTCGTATAGTTTCCTAATATATATTATGAAGCGACTGAATGAAAGGCAGAGCATACCAAAAAACTAACAAAAAAAACTGGATTGGGACGCCTCTGGTGGTTATTGTTGGCTTTTCTATGAGAAGTTTCAGCGTGGTATACTATTGCTATACAAGAGTCACATTGTTATGGACAAAACTGTCAGAAAATAGCTCATTGTGAATAAAACTGTCTTATCTCATTTTATGGTTGGAGAAAACACTGAAGCTTTCTGGTGTTTCTGTCTTTGCTGCCTCTCAACCCTCTGCATTGTCTCTCTCAGGAATAAATTGACTTCTGGTATACTGTAACATTACATAACAGACACTATGCCACTAAGTCAGTGTAATTGCCCAGACTACCTGTCACTCTCTCCATTGATCAATCAATTGATCTTCCTCTTCAAACTTCCTCACTGTCTTCTTCCTGTTTGCTCCCTGTCCGTCTTTGTTGTGCAAACACACCTGAATTATTTATTTTTCTGTACATCAACAGCACAATAATAAGTAGATAACCAATACAGAGACCATCAGTTGCATAGCTTCCTTGATTTCACCTTGATTGTAAATGTATGACAGTAAAAGACAGCTGGCCAATCCTCCTTATTTGAATTATAAATATAAATACAATGACATTTCTTTAAAACCACTGTAAAGTCTGTCTGCTCTTCCTCTCTGTCTAAACTCATTTATTCAGAACCAGACCAGTGGCTGAGTAACATCACTTACCATCAATATTGATGTGTGACTGGTTGTAATGTCCACTAATGAGCGTTAGAGGCAGGAAGCTGTTCGTCCGGAGACATACTAAAAGACAGATGCATTACTCTTAAGCACTCTGTGGAATTAATAAACTACATGAGACCAGAGACCATGACAGCCTGCAAGTGGAAAGTGGGAAACTCGTCATTTACAACGTCTCTGTGCATTCAAGCTGCAAAAGTGGGAAAAAAAGGCCCGCAGTAGAGTGTCTGTTTGGCTGCTTTCCAGCATCAGAGACTTAGAGACCCTAACTATTAGAGATTTAACCAATAATGTGAACAGATTGGTTATGCCGTGCTGAATATTAAAACTTTTAAATGTTTTAAAAGTGATATTGGTTGTATGCGCAGCTGTGACAAGAACATGAGATATCATACCTGCTCATCTTCATTTTTTGTTTCAAAATGTGTTGAGCCACAGAAATTAGTACATACAATATATTGTTGTGTCAGTGCTCATTTTCATCTATATAAAAGAATTATAAAAATATATTCATGTACAGGATTGTATGTATGAAAATGGTATCAAAGAAAAAGAAAATCATTTAGATAAAGGATAAAATAAATGTGCATATACAAAATTAAGGAGAAATAAATTAAATCTAAATCTAAGAATAAGAGCTTAACTCAGATCTATGAGCAAGTCTATGAGCATTTATTTCAACATTTGTCTTCCCAGTCCAACTTAATTTAACTTTCTATGAAATATATATAACAAATCCTAAACATCTCCAAAGCATGTCTTAGTATTGGACCGATTATCCTATAATGGTTGCATGATTGCTAAGTTGGACCTGTGTATAGCACTATATCCATAAAATTTGGGTTTAGTGACTGAGACATCCACATAAGTTGGATATATTTTCGTTTTCATTATTTTGGATATATTGTAGTTTTTTTAAAGATCCAAATTTCCTAGTTGTAATTGTGGCTTCGATTTTGTCATGATCTGTTTGTTCAACTCAGAAACTGGTAATTATTCTAACTCCCACATGACCTGAATGCATCGTTACTAAAACAACTGACAGGAAGTGTTGCAACTCTATACCAGCTTTTAAAGTTGGGGCCACAGCCTGAGACTCCAAGGTTAAATGTTGTAAGGTTGTTATTTTTTATTTATCATTTAGATTTTCAATTACAAAATAATTCTTTTAAGGACAGAAATAGTACAAAATAAACACTCATCGCAAGTTCCCACAGCCCACAGATACATGTCCAAATGTCTTGTTATGTCCAACCAACAGTCCCAAATCCAAATATATTTAATTTACAGTGATATATCTGAGTGAAATATCTGATTATGTGTTACAGGACAACACATAATCAGGACACACAGAAGGTGTTGTGTGTTTAGTCATGTATTTGAATAAAAACCCAGAGCAGTCCTGTCCAGCTGGTTTGAAGAGCGAAGTGAAAGTCGGCATGTGGAGAGACAAGGTCACACACACACACACATACACACACACAGACACACACACATTACCTGGAGACAGAGAGATATGCAGTGTGTGTGTGTGAACATGTAATAGGGATGGAAGAGAGAGAGAAAGGTGTGTTTTTGAGGGCTACAGACGCTGACAAGTTTGTGTGGGAAAGGTGTGTGTGTTGGAAAGATGGCGAACTGTGCCGCCAGATATAGAGAGAGGGATAGAAAAGACAAGGAGAGAGAGACAGTAGAAGGTGAGCTGTTTTTAACCATATAAGGTAAAACAGGAGAGTGACTGCGGGCTACTGTGCGTCTGATTGGCTGAAATCTGCCAGACAGATTTAACATGATTTATAGTTTTAATACAACATTTTTAATTTTTAAAAGCTACATCACTCAGAGAAGATGAAGAATAATGAGCATCGTTGTGTGTTTGAGACTTTTTTTAGTCATTCATTGCCGTTCTACTGACCCTCCTGTCAAGATTAAGTGGTATATAATGCAAATATTAGAGGGTGTTGTATTTATGAGCAAAAGTGTAAAGAAATTATTAGTGTGTTTATCAGCTTTAACATTAAGCTGCAAATAATAGCATGTTCAGTTCACTATCTTAAAGTAGTTCCTAGCATTACGTCCAAGGTCAAGGAGCACATTATTATATTAATTATTCTACTACAGTACTTTTGTTTATTGGTTTACTGGTTGCATTAAAAAAAGACCTGTTAACAACTAGCAGCTAATGTTAGAACCTGTGTACTGCTCTTCATTGGATTTTTACTGAAGTTTACCCCTCACTAATCCCAGCTAATGTCATTTGAGATAGCTTTACGTTCGCCAAAACTTATTGGTTAGCAGTACAGCTAGGTAATAAATCGATTGATTCAAATAAGTTAAGTTTTAAAATTATGCAAAAATGGCTGAATTGTAAACTTAAGATTTAAACAACGAATGTTATAATGCAAAGACTAAAACAAGTGACTCATCCACAAAGTGTAAAATTATTTTCCCATATGAGAAGAAGTGATAAGGGTGGCTGTGGCTCAGAGGTAGAGTGGGTCATCACTCTATGAAAGGGTGAATGGTACAAGCATATCATAAAGTAACTCTAAATGTCATAGAAATGTAGTGGAGTAAAATTACAATATGTCCCTCAGAAATGTAGTGAACAAGTAAAGTACAAGTATGTCAAAACTGTACTTCAACCACTGTTGGTTAGTCCTCATCCTTAAAGCTTCTCTTTTAATGTTAAAAATAAAAACAAGTAAGCAGCCAGACAGTTAGTTATATTGGTATGAAATAAGAGTCTGTTGTTACATCTTTCCTTCTCATACTTATATTTACAACAACATACAATATGGATCATCAGGCGGCGAGGATGGCTTCTTTCTGAGTGACACATTGTTCAGTTTTCCACCTCACGTCACCACTAGAGCGTCGAGCTTAGAGAGAGAATGACGGGAGTAAATCTGACATCTGCTGTCACCTTCACTTCATCCCCTGTCCACACACACACACACACACACAGACACACACACACGGGTTGTATTACTACAGCTTTTGACTACAGTTGCTCTTTAAGAAACTCTTACCCTGAACTCACCTCTTACAAAAGAATGAAGCAGTTAACTCTCTCTTCTTTTAGATCTTTTAACTACATTTACCGCAATAGCCAACAGCTACAAATTTCTAATATTTAATTTAATGGCACTCCAACAGCTTGTTTTTAAATTCAGTGGGCGAAAATTGCCTTTTTGAACTTTGAATTACTTTTAAAAAATCAAAAGTGAAAAGAATAATTCAAATTGTTGTTTGGTACCCTTGAACATCCTTGAACACACCATCTGTTGATACTTGAATATGATGCTAAATTATGTGTAAAATGTTTTTAGTCTCACGTATTGCAACATTTAACCTGTTCTTACACTATTCTTTTGGATGTGCAGTAATATAACTTTTCTTCCTCCCGTCCTCTCCCTGCTCAGGTGAGTGCTACGTTTGTGCCTCCAACGAGCCTTACCGTAAGGTCGACTACACCAAGATCTCCGTCCCAAGCTGGAAGCCAGGTGCCAGCTCTGGGACAGGTCCCGGGAGCTCAACCCGGCCCTCCACAGCGTCCACGGGGGTGTCGGCAAGCACGGCTACCACCACCAAAGAGCGACCTGAAAGTCGTGAGGGCAGAGAGAGCAAAGACTTTATCAAGCCCAAGCTGGTGACGGTGATCCGCAGCGGCGTGAAGCCTCGCAAGGCTGTGAGGATCCTGCTGAACAAGAAGACGGCTCACTCCTTCGAACAAGTGTTGGCCGACATCACAGAGGCCATCAAGCTGGACTCCGGGGCTGTGAAGAGGCTGTACACACTGGATGGGAAACAGGTGAGGTGATGTTTGTTTTTGGTGTTTTACTCTTTGACAGATACAAATGTAAGTGAAAGATTAGGTGTGAAGTTCTTCCTATTAATGCATGGCCAAACATACATCTTCAGTATGGTCAGATATTGATATTTGTTTCGACATCAGAATCAAAGAGCGAGTCAGACATTCAACAATCATTTTGGGAGAAGTACAATCACTAAGCTACACAGAAACCCCTATCTGCATCCACGGGAGCAGGGAATGGACCAAAATACAATGCAGCTGCACAATAAAATTGTTTTTTATTATTAACTTAATTTCATATGTTTTAGTGAAATCCAATAATTTTACACTAATTGTCTTTCTGAGACAGTTAAGACAGAAGTTCATTTGACGATATTATCCAAGTGTCTGTGCTATAGATACAGGGCAGCAGACAAGGCTGTAGATACGGGGCAGTGTCAGTGCTGTAGATACAGGGCATAGGTCTTTACTTTCTATTTGATTTGTATAATAGTAACAATAATATTATTAATATTAACTTAATTTCATAAGTTTTAGTGACGTCCAATAATTCAACACTGATAAATCACACATTGTTATCTTCAGTCTTTATTTTGCTTATAATTTTTTTTCTTCTTCCGTGTATGTTTTTTGGACTGACATCGTTTTTTCTTCTTCTCTTGAACACACACACATTCAGTATCTTCAGATGTGAATCACAAACACTTCTTCCTGGGACTCTTTCAGAAGCTGACAGTCACACGCATTGTCTTCAGGAAATGCAAATATTGTAGTTTCCTGTGTGATTTTGCATTTGCTATAGCACAGTATATATTTAGAAATATTCAGATTCAAACCATACAGCTCAGCTCTTCACTGCAGTAGAATGAGACAACACAGACCGAGTCAATGTAGGTTCACCAGAAATCAAATTACAGCACTTTCATTACTACTGGAATGTGTAGAACATCAGGATAAACTATATAGGAGCCTCTTTAAAGGGTATTTTTTTAGTTCGCAGTGTTGGTACAGTGAGTTCAGTCATTTTGAAGCTTAATATTTTGGCACTTTTAGCTCAATGTGGCATCTGTTTAAAGCTCTGGAACTGCGTGTTAAACAGACTTTGAATGTGCTCTGATCCTCTCTGAAACTCTTCTGTGCACTTGTATTGAGTTAAAGATTTTGGATTTAACTGGCCGGGGCTATTTTTTACCACAGACACACACACACATATGCACTTTGAAGTTAGAGATAAGAGTGTTGGCTGTGACACAATGACAGTGGAGAGCTGAAGAAAAGCAGACGGCAGACAGCAGAGAGCTTCAGATTTACACACACACACACACACACACACACACACACACACACAAGTCCACCCACAAACAGACTACCCAATAAGCAGTTGCTCAGAATTTGCTGCAGCATCGGCCTTAAGAAAATAAAAGAAATGTTAGCATACACAGCATACTTTTTAAAATGGTTCCCTGTGATAAATATGTCAAATATGTTTTTT